AAGGATTGTAATCCATTGCTAGGGGACACGCGAAAATTATGCCTATTTCACCGGGAAGGTATGAATGCTGGACAAGAGGAAATCACCGTACAGCTTAAGGAGAACTGGCCATTGTGATATGCAGGAGAATTGGCTTTTGTGATATTCATCGTAATAGAGGAGCAAGAAGAATGTCATTCTCTCATTCACATCCAAAAGGCGTCTGTATAGGACAAAATGGGAAGACATGAGCCTCACAAAATACACAATTAACTAACATAAGAATGTCACTTTGTAGTTAAACTGGAAGCTGAAGAAAAGCGGTCGAGATATAAAATTTACAAAAAGAAAACAATGATCAGGTTCAAGCAAAGAGAAACTAAAAGAAACATGAACAGCTGCACAGAATGAATTATTATTGCTCATGAAGTGCCAGCAGGAAAAAACAGAGGAAAGAGAACATACTTTTTGATCTCTAGACACTGTTTTGCGGCTGTAACTATATCAGCAATGCTAATAAAAGCCATCTTTGTCTTAGTTTTATTGAAAAAAATTTCTACCATGCTATTTAAGAAGCTGAGCACAAGAGGCCATGAACTATAATTTATTTTGATAGGAATGAAGTTGCTGACAGAATAAACCTGCAGCATAGAAAAACTAGCATTACTAACATTCCCCAGTAAAATAAATGTAAAAATCGGTAGAGAATGTTTAAAGAAAATAAAATTGAAATGGGCACATAGAATCTTGTACCACACACATGAAAAATTGTGAAACATTTCCTTCAAAAAAAATTGTGATACATTAATTACAAGCAGAAAGGATACAGCAAAAAAGGAAACTGCCTTGAGAAACTAATTTGCAAGAAAGTATGTGTACATTTGTAATACACTGAGAATATGGTAGTGTTTCCACTGTGATGGAAAACATCAGATTTTAAAAGGGGCATCTTGTAGAAAACGTTGCTAACCAAATGGGACAACTGCGTACAGGTTTCTACAACATTAAATGCATCACAACTGGTGATTCCTTGAGCCAATTCCATCAAGAACAGCAAGTCCGACTTAACCTTAAAAACCAGATACAGAAGACACTTAGTTCCAAAAGACTCACTGTCCGAGCAACCATATAAACAGGTGCGAAGCATAAGTGCCCGCAAAAGGAATAGAAATGAACACCTCGTGAGGGGCCAAGTCGGTGGACACATCGATCAGGGCATT